TATATGCCATGGAATACTATGCAGCCATAAAAAAGGATAAGTTCATGTCCTTTGCAGGGACATCGATAAAGCTGGAAACTGTCATTCTCAGCAAAGTGGCACAAGAACAAAAAAACCAAACACCGCATGTTCTCACTCAGAAGTGGGAGTGAACAATGAAAACACATGGACACAGGTAGGGGAACATCACACATCAGGGCCTGTAGGGGTTTGTGGGGCTAAGGCTAGGATAGCATTAGGAGAAATACTTAATGTAAATTATGGGGTGATGGATGCAGCAAACCACCATGGCATGTGTATAACTATGTAACAAACCTGCAGGTTCTGCACATGTGCCCCAGAACTTAAAGTATAAGGAAAAAAGAAGCTAAACACCCCCAAAAATATTTTACATGAAAATAATTTTTAAAACTGGCTGAAATAAACTAAAAAGTATATTATTAAGTTTATTTTAAATACTATAATAATAAAAATAACATATAAAACAGATACATACTAATTCCCAGCCAATAAAAAACACGTGTCATTTAATTTATTTTAAATTTATTATGGAAACCATAATTTATTGAACACTTAGTTTTTAAAATGCTGTACTATGCCATGTTTGGTTTGTTCACCAAATATATATTAAAATACAGAGTAAAATTTTAGGACATGTTAGGGTGTGCAAATGAACAAAACTGGTTTTCAAAACACATTATTTAAAATTTTAGCACTTCATAGTTAAAATAATTTAAATAGTGTTAGAAAGTGAAAGACTCAGGGTTCTATTTGTAAGCATTTCTCAATTTTCTATAACCAGGTACATGGTTTCTGTCCTCAGAAATGAAATAAAATTTGGGGTAAGATTGTCACTGTATATTTTAACAACATTTTTGAAATATCAGAATATGATTAAATGAATACAGTTTCTTAAGTACAACATGAGCCAAGCATGTATAATTAATGAATGCCAGTCTATCCTGTTTGTTTTAAGATCAACATTATTTTTCCTCATATTTCCTCTAGTTAATCATTAGTCCAAAATGGGTAAAAATGATAAATAAATGGTTAAGAAGACAAACAATTTAAAACAGTAATCGTTAACATAAGCAGTTGTTGTTTTTACGTATCTCCACCAAATCAGTGACTGAAACTTGAGCATGTGTTCCCATATCCTTAACGGCACACGTTCGCTCAGACCACATGTACAGAGACTCTCAAAAATTTTATATAGATAAAAAGGTATTAAAATATTTTTCTTAATGTGTTTTTGTTTTCAAAACTCATATTGTAGTGCTCCCCTCCCTGTGTCCATGTGTTCTCATTGTTCAACACCCACCTATGAGTGAAAACATGCGGTGTTTGATTTTCTGCTCTTGTGTCAGTTTGCTGAGAATGATGGTTTCCAGGTTCATCCATGTCCCTACAAAGGACACAGACTCATCGTGTTTTTGATGACTGCGTAATATTCCATGGTGTATATGTGCCACATTTTCCCTGTCCAGTCTATCATCAATGGGCATTTGGGTTGGTTCCAGGTCCTATGCCACAATCTTGCATGTTCTTCACATGTACCTCAAAACCTAAAATGCAATGAAAAAAAAAAAAAGTTAAAAAAAATCATATTGGAAAAAAGTGCACTATTGCTATCCCTACCTATAAAAAAGCTTGGGATTATTTTTTTAACCCCTGATTTGAAAATGTTGCCCTGCAAAATTCAGAATATCCTCTGTAGCACTCAGAGCGTGTTCCTGCTCTTTCACGAATAGGAATGACACTCAAGGCAGATGATTACCTGGTTAATCATTTCCTTCCATTCAATCATTCCATTTCGAGTTTTCTAGAAAACATTCCTTGTTCTACTCCTGTAATCTGCCAAATGAATGTGGGTCCTTTTTCATCCAGCATTCCTTTACAGATTTGAGATCATTAGTCATATCTGCCATCTCTTTACCTGAATATTCTAATTTCCCACAACCATCTCACTCTCGTACATCATGTTCTTTTTTTTTAATTATTATTATTTTTGCATGTCACTATTCTAGTTTGTTGATGTCTCCTTTGAAGTGCCATTTCAAACATGAAGGCAATGCATCACGTATTATGACATTTAGATTGAGCCTGGGACATAGGTGGGCTCAATAAACACCTATTGAATGAATGAATGATTTCTTTTCCTGTCTTTTGTGTTTCTTTGTGTTGGAGTCGATTTGCCCTTCAGGCTTGGGAACTCATTCCTCCTACCCCATGTTGCCACTTCTAGATGAAAAGAAGAAAGTGATAGCTCATCTTACTCCCAGTACCTTCCTGAATACTTATCAGACCAAAGTTTCTTAGCACATTTTACATCTTCAACTGGTGTCATTTTTCTTCTCCCTAGGAAGGCGCTTTCATGGGAAGGCAGTCAGTGCTGAGAGGATGATGTCTGCCTTCACAAGCCAGCCTGATTTTATATTTATATTTTCTTTTTGTTTCCCTTATTATTTATTTGTTAACATCATTTTCTAAAATCCCAGCCCTTCACAGATATGCTAAAGGAAACTGGAGAAAAAAACAATTTGTCGAAACCAAGTCAGATTGCTACCTGATGGTAGTAACCTATGTGTGTACCTGTGGAATGGGAGAAACTTTCATCAAAATGTGATGGAGATGCATGGGGAAAGTGAGATACATGGGAACAAATTTGAGATCATTTTGAAAAAAGAAAAAACACTTCCTAATTAGAGATTTTCCTTTCCGTGTTTACCCTTGGATGCTCTGAGTCTCATTTTAATAAGACACATTGATCTCTTCCAGTTCAATAATTCTAGGACTTGTTGGATGCCATCCCAAATACTACCTAGGATATGTATGTGGCCTAGAGGGAAAGAGCAGTCCCTTCTGCAGGGAAGATGACAAGGACAGAATGTTAGTGGGGAAAAATGAAACTGTATTGAGTTTTCATAATTACATATCAAAGATAAATAAGATGGTATTCACATAAAAGTGTGGAGTTAGGAAGATTTGGACGCTGGTATTTAGATTTTTCCACCATTAAACTCATCCAAGAAAGTGCGTTGGAGGAGAGATGTAAGGCAATGGTATCATCACCTCTGGAGATGAAAGTAACAGAAACAAAGGGCTCTAACAATAAAAACCTGTAAAGGGCTGATTAGCAAATGTGGGAAGTTGGCCTGACCACCGGTATTGGCCCATGTTCCTCACTCTACTTTTCCTCCAAACAGACCATGTTTCTTGAGTCACTCTTTCAGTCATTCTTTCTGTCATTTCCCTGGACTAGATCTTAAGATTTCAGACATGTAATTCTTTTCTAAACCTCTATCAGATAATTGCAACAGGGAAAAGCAAGGAATTTACAAACAGGCCAATACAGAAAAAAATAATGTTGATTTAAGAGTCCTAGTGGTGCAAATTTCTACCAAAACACCCATGATGAATAACAATAATTTTAGAAAAGGTACAAATCAGTAGTTAGTAAGATTTAGCTGTGTGTTCTCTAACATTTGGCTTCTTTTCTTTAGAATAATGTATACGTTTTACATTATTTCAGAGATTTAGGAATGGCAAAAAGGAGAAATCCAATCTACTGAGTCTCCAGACTCAGTAGATTAGTTCTCAGGGAGCCTGGAATCAAAGGGTTTTGTTGGGACATGGGGAAGTGGAAGAGAAGTTAGCTCAATACAGCTAGAAAAAAAGTCTACATATCTATTTTTCTCTATCTCTGTATCTCCGTATCTATCCATCCATCTATCCATTTATCTACCTATCATGTCAGACCAAGGCCAACTCTAGTTGACAGTAACACCCTAATAGCCCAGTTAGTCCAGGTAGTCAAAGGACTAGGCAGTCTCCCAGTGTAGGTGATGCTGAGTGTGCAATCCCTATTAGAGAACTATCACTACCCACAGAGCTTGTTTCTCTGTGAAGATAAGAGGGCCTAACACTCCATGTCTTCTGACATCATTCTTTTGTGCTCTCAGCCCTCTCGTAGGGCTTGGCCCCACCACCACATGAGCCATGAGAATGTATATACACATATGTAATGTCACACATTATGTATTTAATCACAGAGCAGCCAAACAAAAACAGCAGGAGAAGATTCACTCTGAATAGGAACCCTTCCAGCTCAGAGAAAATAATTATATCTTGTGACAGAGTTTGGTAATCCTGGCGAAAGAATATCCCAAGGACCATGTGCCGGCCCTTTGGTATTTTGTGAACAGGATGCTCTTGGCACGATTGATACTAGGAGAGAGAAGCTGAGTGACTTCTGAGGTGGGTGATGCTGAGTACTGTAACTTCTGAGGTGAAAAGGGTTTATATTTATGAGCAAGAGTGGTGAGCATTTATTTTCATACCTAAGAAAAACAAGACACTTCTGTATAAGGACCCAAGGAGTGATTACATTTGCAGGCATAACCATGGGTCCCAGGCAGCTGGGGCTGCTGTGAGGAGCAGGTCTCACTGTGTCCTTGGAGTACTACAGAGTTTTCCTTTGGGCATGCTCTCTATGCCCTTCAATACCCACCTCTTCACCTCCTATCCCTGACTGATAATTCAACGTGTGCCCTGGTGGGACCCAGCCCACATTAAAGTTCACTCTTAAGCCATTATCATCAGCCCTTGAAAAGAGGTTATCAAATTCAACTAGCCTTTATGACAGGAGTCAGCCATATATGGCCTGTGAGGCAAATCCTGCCGCCCTCAACCTGCTTTGTAAATAAAATTTCATCAGAACATGGCCTTATTCATTTGCTTATGTATATTCTATGGTTATTTTCATGCTACTGCAGCAGAGATGAGTATTTGCAACAGATTATATGGCCCACAATGTCTAACGTATTTACTGATCTTTGTGCATGAGATGGAGAAGGCGTCACAGGTTTGTATCTGGGAGAATTGTTTTCCAGCTGTTTTTGTGGCAGAAAGATCTTTACAACTGGCACAGATGGATGTTTTTAAAAATTAGTTTAATACACAAATGAGGAGGAAAAAAATTAGCTTGACCCACAAGTGGACTAGTGACCTCCTTCTGAAACAATCTGGCCCCCAGTCATCTTTTTCAGAACTCCCTTGACATCTTTGTTTCTCAGGGTATAGATTGTAGGGTTCAGCATGGGGGTGACTACATTGACAAAGATCTGTACCGGGGTTACCAGAACATCACTCAAAAATGGCTGGGTACAGATGAGGGCACAGGGTCCAAAGAACAGTGTGACCCCGGAGAGGTGGGAAACACAGGTAGGGGCCGCCTTGTGTCTCTCTTCAGCAGAGTGTATCTTCAGGACTGCAGTGACGATGAGGATGCAGGAGGCAAGGATGAGAAGGAAGCAGGTCATGGACACAAGACCAATGTTGGCGAAGCTCACTGTCTCGATGATAAGGGTGTCATCACATGCTAATCTGACTACAGGGAAGATGTCACCAAAGAAATAGTCCACCTCATTAGAATTACAATATGGCAGTTGGAAGGTCAATGAAGTGAGAATTGCCGCATGAAAGGAGCTAGTAAACCAGTTGCAGGACACACACCTGGCGGCTCATGATGATGGTGTAGCGCAGTGGGTAACAGATGGCAGCAAAACGATTGTAGGCCATTACCACGTAGAGCAGGCACTCAGTACTGTCTAGGAAGTGGTTAAAAAAAAAAAAAAAAAAAAAAAAGACCTGGCACATGCAACCTCCCAGGGAGATGACTTGGGTTCTCACCAGCAAGTTGGCCAGCATCTTTGGAGTGCTCACAGAAGAGAAACCAATGTCCAACGCAGAGAGATTACAAAGAAAGAAATACATAGGCATGTTGAGGTGGGAATCAGACATCACAGCTAAGAGGATGAGCAGATTTCCTAGCAGCATGCAGAGGTAGAAGATCACAAACATGACAAAGCACACAATTTTCTGCCCCTCTGTGTGGGGGATGCCTAACAGGATGAACTCTGTAACCAAAGTGTAATTCTTTATCTCCATAAAAGTTAGATGTTACCCTGAAAAGAGGGAAAATGGCAACAAGGTGATGCTCCAAGGGACCAAATTTTACTGCTTGCTCCCAGTAGATTCACGAGGAAACAGCAATCATAGATCCTATTAATGAAAGGATGGTGTTTATTGTCACTGTAGGATGAGCAGATATCCCCAGGGACAGGTGTGGTCTCTGGGAGTGAGACTGGGTGCTGGCAACTTGACTGGTATGAACAGATTTTCATTTATTATCATCAGGTAGAGAAGAGCAAATGACAGATAATAGAAGTGTTGAGAACTAAGAAAGGCATAGAAAAACAAAAAAGAAAGAAACGGAAATAGAGAAAACATGAGGAAAAAGATGAGGCACATTTATAGTTTACATAGAATTTTCATAGCCATTTTCTAGTTAAGTCTTGATGGAATTTTGTAAGATAGGTGTTGATATTTTTATTTCACAGTTGATGAAGAAGCCATGATTCATGGAAACTAAATAACTTGTTCAAATTCCCATATATAGCTTTTGGCAGATCCCAGATTGGAACCAAAGGACTTCAAATTTATTGTACTGTAATTGAAAAAGGAGAGAAACAAGCTATGGAAATGCAGATATGGGGAAAATTAATGTATTTTCTGAACTGAAAATGCCTCAAAGATAACTTAGTTCAATTATTTATTTTTTTACTTTGGATTTTCTTATACATATTTTTGCCGAGTTGGCTTTGAATTACTCCCTGATAATTCCTGCATTAACCCTTTTTTTCCTGTGGTTGTTTAGCACTCTGGACAGCTATTCAGTGACAAGTGTTACCATTACATTTCAAAGAAACATTGGTAACACTATAATATGAGATTGAACTTGTTTTATTTGTAAAACTATAAGAAGGCTTTCATGTTGATTTCTACTATGCATTGTGGAAAACTGTCTCTTTTTTTTAAGTTTCTATGAAAAACAGGTTCTTATCCATATCTTTCATGACTGTCTATTAAATAGTTTCATCATTTTGTGTTCAACTATCACTCAAGCCTATCAAAGCATCTTTATAGATTTTCACTCTATCATCTACTATAGACCATATTTTTAGCATGATATTCTTTATGTGGTCTGCAATGGCGCTATCTCAGCCAAAGGAATAAGGAATGTCCCATACCAAATCTGTGTGCGGTTGTCCAGAAAACGTAATGAGGATGAAGATTCACCAAATAAGCTCTATACTTTGGTTACCTATGTACCTGTTACCACTTTCAAAAATCTACAGACAGTCAATGTGGATGAGAACTAATCGCTGATCGTCAAATACATCAAATAAACTTTAAAAATTGCAAATATATATATATGTATATATATATATACACATACATATATATACATATATATATATATACATATATATAAGCTAGTTAAAATAAGAGGAAAGCTACTTAACCCCTAGATCTCTTGATGAGAAGCAGAACTCCCAGTTTAGTGTACTTGTTTTTGTTCACTCATTTAGCTATGCAGAATTTTTTTTCTCATTTAAAAGAGCTGTGTTTATATTAGTGATCTCTGAGGTCCCTTTTAGCTCAAAAGTTATGTTTAATAATTATATATAAAAATAAGATATGATTACTGTGTATGTAGGTAAGCTTTTGCTGTGAAGTCTAGTCTAAATGCTTCTTATTAATTCTCACCATTGGCTTCCAAGTGGATAAGGCCAGCTCTATAAGTAATAAAACTGGCAGAGGCCTGAGGGCTGCCTACATAAGGATATCATTTACAAGGAGATATCCAGCTCAATATTAAAAATAGTTAATAGACTTTCAGCTCTGCTCAGGCTCTTGTGCTGAACCACTGCAGTAGAAAAAAAGATGGGATTAGTGGTAGAAGACATATGGGGCACACAGTGCCTATTCTTGGGGAATTTGCAATGTATTCAGTAGATAAGACAAATATAAAGATAATTATAGAACCTTATTCAAAATCAGACAAGATCAATAGAAGACTTAAATTCTGAATTCAATTTCAATCCGTTTCTTAAAGTAACCTTGGATAGCAGAGAACTTCAGTTTGTTCTCACTCTTTCTATGTTATTTTGTGTATGCTGTTTAGTGTCTCTGTGTCCAGTTGTTTAATTATACTTTTAAAAAAAAAAAAAAAAAAAAAAAAGCTTTACATGACATTTAAGGTCCCATCCACCTCCATCCATGTATAAGAACGTAAGCCTGTATCTGTCTATTTTGATAGAGATGGCTGGCTATTGTGGACTCCAAAAGATTTTTCTAATATTGGATTAAAAGCAACAGATTTCATTCTATTGGTGTGTTATCAAAATTTTTACTTTGATTAATTATATTTGTGTGTGCATATGTCTGTGCATGTAGTGTATGTGTTTCTTTGTAAATATTTAGAGTAATTAAATACTATGTAATGTTATGAAAATAAGAACATAAAGTGCCTCTAACTTTGGGGTTTCAGAATAGTGGGGAGGTGGTTTGTCATGTGGTATACTGGTATACTAAATCTTCACAGCAAGTACTGAGGAAAAAAATTAGCAAGTACCTGACTAATTTAATCCATGAGGACTGTCATGGTTAATAGTCCCTCTTGAAATTCACACTGAGTCTCAAATTGCTTACCCTGGCCATGCTGCTCAGTTTAAATTGTGGAGTTTTAATTGAGCTTTTCACCATGTGCTGGTCAAAGCCAGTTCTCAGCAATGAAATATGATTGACAGATTCTATTGATGCTTCTTTGAAGTGAGAAAAGTTCACACTCAGAATATGCAGCCACTTAGAGCTTTGACATTTAAAACTCCATATTTTCTCTGTTCTTTCTTGTCAATTCCAACCAAGGCTATTTAACTGCATTGCAATTGACAAGTGGCATTTTTACCGCTAACTCCCACAAGAGAGGGAATGTAGAAAAGCTAGTTTTTTGAGGGTTATTTTTTTTGGCTGTGGGGGTGGGCAAGGTTGCTTGTTTGCTTTTTAATGCAGTGATTTAGGAAAAATCAGCCTCACTTTGGAAATACTGAAAAAAACTGATATGAATGAAATTATCCACGCACATGTGTCTGGAAAGCAGATTGTGTATTAACATGTATGTGTACACTCGCGATTAGGTTTTCCTTGGAAGTACAATTACAAGGTGAATCCAAGACATAAACACTATAGCAAGCCTTGTTTCATTGACTAATCTCTACCTCATAACACAGCTCACAAATGGAAACCAATAATTAAAGGGCAAAATAGTCAAAATCATAATGAACATTAAAAGCATCTCATAGAACTGAGTACCTTTGAGATTAATTAACTAAAAAAAAATTCTTCTCAATGATTCCCTTTGAGAGATTTTATAGCTTGGTGTAAATGATACAAAAAGTTTCTGTAAATGTGTTTTCTGCCAGGAGCTTTCCATAACTGAAAAAACAATGCCCATTTTCTGAGTTTTAACAAATGATGTTCATAGGAGTAACTATGGAAAGCACTTGCTTTGGTCAATAGTACACATCGTACATTGTACATGAGAAGCATTGGAGCAGAGCTGGGTTTCAAAGTGAGAGGAAATAAGGGCTGAAGGCTACAGGACATGTATGTTATTTTGAGCAAGTTGTCCAAACTCTGTCTCATTTTTCTAAAATATAAAATACAGATAATAAGAGTAAGTACTTACCTCATAGGGTTATCATGAGACCCAGTGAGACAAGATTGTAAAGCACTAAGCATTGTGTTCAGAGCATGGTAAATGCTCTATAAATGTTAGCTAATCACAACAAAACATTACATTTGTTTTTGGTATCTCAAAGGCTTCCTGATGGTAGCTTTATCTTGTTCCATTTACACTTACAACTTTAATAAACCTATCAGTTTGCTCATCTAATCTAAGTCCTATTCAATACAATGTAACCTCTAATCTTGTATTGTTGATTGTGTTAAATTACTTTGACAAATTCTTAATTTCTTGCCGTATTTACAAGCAACAATTGTCATTGCTCTTGTTGCCTGAGGATATGAGGCAAATTGAGAACCGGGTCCTTTTCTCTGCTTTTTTTTCTCACTAAGTCTTTGTTTATATCTAGCTATAATTTGTCAGCATAGCTAAAGGACAAATATACAATGGTTTGACACAGACTGTGTGTAATTCCAATATCTATTACTTTTGTGGGGTCACATGTTCAAGGTCCAGCATTTCAGTAACTTCATTTGAATGAAAAGTAATTCTGAGAACTATAACGGGAAACAAAGCCTCATTTAATTTTACTTCAACTCAACACATTGCATAAGTATAAAATAACTTTTTTTTTTTTTTTGAGACGGAGTTTCACTCTTATTACCCAGGCTGGAGTGCAATGGCGCGATCTCGGCTCACCGCAACCTCCACCTTCTGGGTTCAGGCAATTCTCCTGCCTCAGTCTCCTGAGTAGCTGGGATTACAGGCACGTGCCACCATGCCCAGCTAATTTTTTGTATTTTTAGTAGAGACGGGGTTTCACCTTGTTGACCAGGATGGTCTCAATCTCTTGACCTCATGATCCACCCGCCTCGGCCTCCCAAAGTGCTGGGATTACAGGCTTGAGCCACCGCGCCCGGCTAAAATAACTTTTAAAGTGAGTATTTGAAATTAAATTGAAAGCTTCATTATGTACAATATTCAATACTGGTTTTGGTGATTAACGTTGTGTGTCAACTTGACTGGACACTGAATGCCCAAATATTTGGTCAAACATTATTCCGGGTGTGTTTGTGAAGATGTTTTTTATGAGACTGACATTTGAACGAGTAGACTGAGTAAAGCAGATTGCCCTCCCTGACATGGGTGACCCTCATCCAATCAGGCAAAAGCCTGAGTAGAATAAAAGCACCAAGAAAGATAGAACTTTTACACTTTAACTGATTGACCTCAAATATGGGACTCCTTCTGCTCTCAGGCTAAAACTTAAACCATTGTCTTTCCTGGTGCTCAGGCCTTTGGATTCAGACTGAACTTACACAGTCATTTCAAACGGGCCTCCACTTGCCAACTGCAGCTCTTGGGACTTTTCAGCTTCCATAGGCATGTGAACCAATTCCTTATCATCTTATGTATGTATTCCTATTGGTTCTGTTTCTTTTATGAAGCCTGGCTGGCTAACACATTAATTTTGTACTACACTCTAAGCTCTACACTAAGCTCTTTGCATGGATACCATAATTTTTTCTTCACAATAACCCTATGAGTTAAGTATTTTTATCCTCCTTCTCCTTGTAATACATTTGGTAAGACTGTACTCAAAGAGTCTGTCTAAGGCCACACAAATGATCAGTGACTTTGTGAAAACTTAAAGTCAGATCTGTCTGACCACAAAGCCCTGCACATTCTTAAACACTGCCACTAGTATTCCTGAAGAGTTGTTTCCAGAGAAAAAGCCTGTAAGTTGAACTCTAATTTTCTTTCTTTACTTTTCCATTTTATTTTATCTATTTTAGGTTCCGGGGTACATGTGCAGGTTTGTTATATAGGTACTCTTTTCATGGGGGCTTGTTGTTAGTTGTTAGACTAACTACAGGTTAGTCTGCCACCCCGGTACTAAGCCCAGTACCAGATGGTTACTTTTTCTGATGCTCTCCCTCCTCTGATCAGCCCCCATCCTCAAATAGGCCCCAGTGTCTGTTCTCCTCTTTGTGCCCATGAGTTCTCATCAAATTTAGCTCCCACTTGTAAGTGACAATGTGTGATATTTGGTTTTTTGTTCTTGTGTTAATTTGCTAAGAATAATAGCTTCCAGTTCCATCCATGTTCCCACAGAAGACATGATCTCATGCTTTCTTTATGGCTTCATCACATTACATCATACATATGTACCACATTTTCTTTGTCTAATCTCACTTTGATGGTCATTTAGGTTGATGCCCTGTCTTTTCTATCGTGGATAGTGCTGCAGTGAACATTCACAAGCATATGTCTTTATGGTAGAAGTAGCATACCTCAAAATAAAAGTCTTCTATGACAAACCACAGCCAAAATCATTCTGAACGGGCAAAAGCGAGAAGCATTCTCCTTGAAATAAGCACAAGGCAAAGATGTCCTCTCTCAACTTTGTTATTCAACATAGTATTGGAAGTTCTGGCTTGAGCAATCAGGCAAGAGTCATCTGTCTTATTTTCTTTACCTCTCTGTTCCTAATTAACTGTTAAAAGTCATTTTGCCAATCTTATTTTGACATAGCGAGATAATGTTTTATGCCATGGTATAAAGCTGAAATACAGAAAAAAGAATTTATGTCTAAGACGGGAAAACTTTAAAGAAAATGACATGCCAGCGTGGGTGTTGAAGGATGAGTTGAAGTTTGTCCAGCAGAGGAATCGGGGAAGAGCATACCAAGAAAGAACATTAAAATGTATGAAGTCATAGAATTGTGAATGAATCTATTTTAAATGTTTTTAGGTCTTCTCTATAATCTACACAGAATTAATCACTTCTGCCTTCATTTTGCTTTTCTACATTTTATACGCTTTCAGTAAATATTTATCATGTATTATTTTAATTACTTCTATATCTGCCTCCCATCCTTAGCTATGAGCTTCATAAGAATAAGACATACAGATATTTGTAACTTCAGTGTTTAATGTAATACATATTAAATAGATATTTATTTAAAGAACAAATTAATGTTTGAATAAAAATATGAAGTGATATATTTAAAGACTGGCAGAAAGTGGGGAGATGGGGTGTTACTGGGTGAACTTATGGCTTTGAGGAGACTAAAGAGATAGGTTGGTTTTGATCGTTAATTCTGCAGATACAGTACTGAATTATTTTAATTCAACGTGTAAGCAAAAAACAATTGTTGAAAATCCAAAAGAAACAGAGTAGTATTACATGGTTTGCATTCTGGAAAGATATTACTTTAAGGTATGAATGAATCTTAGGACCTCTGTCCACATTTCCTCAGCCCACTCCAGAAGTCACCTTCAGAGAGTTTTTTTGTGTGCTAAAGGATCCCCATGTCTTCTACCTAAAGAAGTCCCTTGCCACAGAATTCCTTTCAACTTACATCTAGAAAGCGGGCCAGAACATCTAATTAATACTCTCAAAAACATCCACCAACCAATGCATGGTAAAAATACCCCAGTTTCCTTTGCAGCCCAGTGGGACAGCTTGGAAGTTGTTATACGCTGTATTTCAGAGAGTCCCAGTGGGATTTAGCCCCAGTTCACCACAGTGGTAAACCATAGGCACACACGTAGTTGGTTGTTCTTTCCTGTCTTTTTCTCATTCCCTTATGAGATAGTGCTTTCTGGGATTATCTTCCAAATTAATTGCTTAGGCCCAAACCTTAGTCTCCATGTCTGCTGTTAGACAAATCTAAACTAAATAAAATGTTCTGTTTCTGTATGCCCTAGTAGAAGGAAATCTTGAAGAGAGTTTGGTGAAGGTATCTTTGTGTCATATGTATACATGCTAACAGGTATGAAAAACTCACCAAAATGTGTTTATTTAAAATAAAGGAGTTCTGGGCTGGATGTGGTATCTAAGACCTATAATCCCAGTACTCTGGGAGGATAAGCTAACAGGATAATTCGAGCCCAAGAATTTGAGACTAGCCTCGCCAACATGGCGAAACTCTGTCTCTACAAAAAGTACAAAAATTGGCCAAGCGTGGTGGCCTATGCTGGAGGTCCCAGCTACACAGCAGGCTGAGAATCACTTGAGCACAGGAGGTAGAGGCTGCAGCAAGCTGTGACTGCACCACCACACTCCAGCCTGGGCCACAGAGTGAGACCCTGTCTCAAAACAGAAACGAAAACAGAAAATAGTTCTTTGATTTTGGAAATTTATACTTATTTACTTATGGATAAAACCAGCAGCAAATACATGTTTATATATTCATACAAGGAGACATGATGCTTTGGCAATAATGAGTTAATTTCAGACATATGCAATACATAATTATGTTAAGTGAAATAACTCAGGCACAGAAAGATAAATATATTCTCACTCATATATGGGAGCTAAAATAATTAGGTTCATAGAAGCAGAGAGTAAAATTGTGGTGCCGGGCACGGTGGCTCAAGCCTGTAATCCCAGCACTTTGGGAGGCCGAGGCGGGTGGATCACTAGGTCAAGAGATCGAGACCATCCTGGTCAACATGGTGAAACCCCGTCTCTACTAAAAATACAAAAAATTAGCTGAGCATGGTGGCACGTGCCTGTAATCCCAGCTACTCAGGAGGCTGAGGCAGGACAATTGCCTGAACCCAGGAGGTGGAGGTTGCGGTGAGCCGAGATCTCACCATTGCACTACAGCCTGGGTAACAAGAGCAAAAACTCTGTCTCAAAAAAAAAAAAATTGTGGTTATTAGGGGCTTGGAAGGGGAAGGGAAAGAGGAGGATAAAAGGTTGGTTGATAGATACGAAGTTACAGGTAGATGGGAGGAAGAAGTTCTAGTGTTCTATAGTACTAATAGTACTATATGGTAAATATAGTTAATGATAATTTACTATGTACTTTCAAAAACCAGAGAGGCTTTTGAATATTCACAACACAAAGAAATGATAAATGTTTGAGGTGATGGATATGCTAATTCCCTGATTTGATCATTATACGCTATGTACACATATTAAAATATCACTCTGTGTCCCATATATGTACAGTTATAATATGTCAACTAAAAATAAAAGGGAGGAAATTGAAATACATATGTAATATTTAAGTGAAAAACAGCCAATTTCAGTAGAATTATATTAATAAAAGCTCAAAGCTCTGCAATAAACACAAAACCCAGGAGAGTGATAACTTCTAGTGAAAAAAAGGTGTGTGATCAGGCTGAGGTCTACAGGGAACTTCCAAGGCATTAGCATTACTCTTTTCCTTAAACTAGGTAATGGGATCCACATGTTCATTGTATCATTGTATCTCAGATCCTTATATTTCACATAGTTTTTCATGAATATTAGTTTCTAAATGTTTAATATTTAATAAAAACATTTTTTAAAACAGACATCTAACAGGACAATAAAAAATGGCTTCTTGATGGTATCATTACTATAGGTTATTAGTGAAACAATAATTAAAATAGTAGATTTTTTTATTGCATTTTAGGTTTTGGGGTACATGTGAAGTACATGCAAGATTGTTGCATAGGTACACACATGGCAGTGTGGTTTGCTGCCTTCCTTCCCCTCACCTGTATCTGTCATTTCTCCCCATGCTATCCCTTCCCACCTCCCCACCCCCCGTCCCTCCCCCATTTCCCCCCAACGGACCCCAGTGTGTAGTGCTCCCCTCCCTGTGTCCATGTGTTCTCATTGTTCAACACCCGCCTATGAGTGAGAACATGCAGTGTTTGATTTTCTGCTCTTGTGTCAGTTTGCTGAGAATGATGGTTTCCAGATTCATCCATGTCCCTACAAAGGACACGAGCTCATTGTTTTTGATGGCTGCATAATATTCCATGGTGTATATGTACCACATTTTCCCTATCCAGTCTATCATTGATGGGCATTTGGGTTGGTTCCAGGTCTTTGCTATTGTAAACAGTGCTGCAATGAACATTCATGTGCATGTGTCCTTATAGTAGAATGATTTATAATCCTAAAATAATATTTTTAAACAAAACAGAAAATAAAGGAATGATATGTGGTAGGCTCATCAATGTAGCACTCCAACAATAACAGGTATTGTTGCCCTTCTTATTCTAAGTGAATTGGTGCAACATATAATGTAATAATGCTATTCTCTTAGTTTGACTAATTATTTTTCCGAAGGTGGAGTCAGTATACTTGACCAAAGTAACTGCAAATTGAGTGACTGAAAACATTATTTTGGACTGGCTATTCATTCATTTCAATCTATTTGATTTAGAACAAACCAGCAAGGACCCAGAGAGAGCAGAGAATAAATAGAACAGGTCCCAAATCCTGTGAATGCTCCTTTGAAAACTCCTCTTCACAGTCATCCCCTGCCACGTCAGTGGCCATCACTTTAGCTTCACTTTTGGTGTCCACATCATAGGTTTCCATTTGGGATGCCCTCATCATAGTTTTGCACTCTTGGGACTGCAGGAAAAACAAAACACCTAAGTGAAATTCAGAATAGGCATCAGTTTTGTAAAAAAAAAAAAAAAAAAAAAAAATTAGCAAGGAGCAAAAACAAACAGTGACTGGGGAATACAGGAGTGTCATGCAAAAAAAAAAAAAAAATGGTAATGGAGAACAAAGTAGCCTTTAAAGAAACTAGAATTCACTTGGCATCAGGTCTTGGTTGTCTCTCTTAGGCCATGCTTCAAGCCATTGTCTCAGGAAAGGCTGTGCTGGAGCCTGTTCTGCTCAAAACATCCTCTGATCCTCTGCTTCAATGTTCTTCTTCTCTCGCCTCACTGGTCTTGACACTTGATTTTTTGTCTTGCTTTGCCCCTGTGGATTAAACACTCTTCTGGATGGTCTACCTGGTTTGAGGTTTTTCCTTTGACACTTTTTCTCAAGTTCTTCTTATACTACCTCTTAGATTATAGAATACAGAAAAGCCTCATCTCACCCTCATACCCAACATGGGCCTGCACACCTCTGGGCTGGGACTGGCTTTCTAGGCTCATGCTTATGTGGAAAGGGAACTCAGACACCACCCAGAGACCTAAGAACAGCGTCTCAGAACTGCTGGATCGAGGAGAGAGGTCAACTTGTTTAAGGAGGTAAGGATATAGTTTTGTTGTTGTTGTTGTTCAAGGCATTAAATCCAATGAACAAAGAACTGAGTTGGAGAAGAACCCTGCAAACAGAATGCATAGTAAATTTTATTTTTTCTGAAAAGGCATTTAGTCACAAATGGCAAATAGTTAAGAGATACCTACCCAAATAATTATCTCTCACCACCCTCACCCCACATATAAAGACTGAAAAGTATGTTGCTACTCCTTGGAAAAGACTCCTCAGCCATTCTTTTATTATTTATTTATTTATTTATTTATTTATTTATTTATTTATTTATTTATTTTTGAGACGGAGTTTTGCTCTTGTTACCCAGGCTGGAGTGCAATGGTGCCATCTCGGCTCACCGCAACCTCCGCCTCCTGGGTTCAGGCAATTCTCCTGCCTCAGCCTCCTGAGTAGCTGGGATTACAGGCATGTGCCACCATGCCCAGCTAATTTTTTGTATTTTTAGTAGAGACGGGGTTTCACCGTGTTGACCAGGATGGTCTCGATCTCTTGACCTCATGATCCACCCGCCTCGGCCTCCCAAAGTGCTGGGATTACAGGTTTGAGCCACCACGCCCGGCCTCCTCAGCCATTCTTAATCTGGAAAAAACAAACAACAAAACATTTTCGATCTTCAACACCTTTCCTGTGAGGGCTTTTCTTCAAGTGAGAAAAAGGTACTCCAGATTTTCTGCTGTACTGTATGTCTTAGTTAGTTGTATGTCTGTTTTCTCCAGCAGACTCTGACTTCTATGCAGCTGGGGTCATATCTTTTTCATTTTGCATTCCTCAGCCTTGCACAGAGTTAATCATCCAACAACATCTGAATGAGTGAAAATCTGGAAAGGAATCAGGTCCCATCTTTACAAATTCATCTGTTTTTACTGACTGTGCAGCTTTGACCAGTACACTGATGCGTGGGAAGAGATCTTCATTGTGTACTCAAAGAGGCTTGAGAAGGGTTTGTGATTCGGAATAAATTTGAAATAATTTGAGATGTTTTTCTAGCTTCCCTTTGAGGCTCTTGTTTGCTGGAAAACAACAGGAAACAGCACTGAAAGAGGTTTTTAGGAGCTTGAGTAGTGACCAGGCAAAAGACTGTCTTCCTTCCAGGAGCTGGGCAGACTCACCCACTGGCTGGAGGCACTGGCACAGTGTTGCTGGTCTGTTCTGGCCGTTTCTTGACTGCTCTCTGATTCTAAGAAGTGCAGGTGGGGAAAAAACACTGGTCTCTGCTTCTGTCCTCTCCTTCCACCATCCTCTTTCCAGCCCTTTCAGCGCAAACTTCACAGCAACATATTTCCCCACTGTGATATGATTCTCAGTGAATGTAGTTATGAAAACAATAACCTCGCTGGATTGAAACAGAATATTTCTCATTCTTAGCAATTTTCAGCCAAAAAATAAAGAAATATAAGAAGGGGGACCAAAATTGACCCCTTTTAGTCAATGGAGAAGCCAAAGACACCAAATAGCAACATCTTGGGCCCAGCATTGCCTCTTGATTGTACTGAGCAAGACAAAGTCAGACTTTCTTTTCTTTTTTTTTTTTTGAGACGGAGTGTTGCTCAGCCACCCAGGCTGGAGTTCAGTAGGACAATTTCGGCTCACTGCAAACACTGTTTCCCAGGTTCAAGTGATTCTCCTGTCTCAGCCTCTTGAGTAGCTGGGATTACAGGCACCCGCCATCATACCAAGCTGATTCTTTTATTTTAGTAGACATAGGGTTTCACCATGTCGGCCAGGCTGGTCTTGAACTCCTGACCTCAGGCGATCTGCTCTCCTCAACCTCCCAAAGTGTTAGGATTACAGGCATGAGCCACCGTGCATGACCCAAAGTCAGACTTTCTTTTTTTTTTTTTCTTTTCTTTTGACAGTTTTTATATTGTGACAAAGTCAGACTGTCTAATGTGGAATCACAGCACAGCTGCCCCTGCTTGGATTCTCCTACCTACCGTCACATCTCATTCACATGCTGTACCTTCACAGCCGGGACCTGTTTCCATGGCTAAGCCCGGCGGCCAGGATTTGAAAGTGATACAGCACATTGGTACCTCTGTTTTACCCATAAGAGGCTGCCTTACATCCCAGTCAGGAGCCTTTCTCTTATATAAGTAACAGGATGCTATTTAAATCAATATGGATGAGACAACAAAAAAACCCACTTTTTTCTTTTCTTTTTTTTTTTTTGAGAGAATGATTTTTTAAATTGAGGTTAAAAAATACATAACAAAAATGAACTATTTTAAAGTGAAGAAATCAGTGGCATTTTGTACATTCACATTCACATTGTCCATAACATGTTCACAGAGTTGTACAATCATCACCTCTACCTAGCTCCAAAACGTTTTCATCACCCCACAATCAAACTAAAAAAAAAAAAAAAGATGAATCTCCTGTTTTAAGGGATTTACCTGCCCTGGATATTTAATAGGGATGGAATCACACAATATATGACCTATTGTGTCTGGCTTTTTTTCACTGAGCGTTAACCTTTCAAGTTCATCCACTTCGTAGGAGGCATTCCTCATTCCTTTTTGACTGAATAACATTTTTTAACAACTTGTAGACAAATAAAAATGAGCACTTGTCCAATGCAGGCATCTGAAGATATAGTCACTGCAGTCAAAATGAAGACATGTCAGGGCAGGAGGGAAATGAAGGGGAGGAGGAGATGTGGGAGAATGAAGGAAATAAAGATTGAGAGGCAGAAGCTCCAGGCCGTTCTGCTTACTGAGGAGAGTTTCTTTCTCTCAATCTCTCTCTCTCTCCCCCTCTCTATGTAATTTCCTCAACAGTGTACAGGTCCCAGAGTCACAAAACCAGCTCTACAGTCCTCATTCTGCCATCATTCACTCCTTACATGTCCTTGGACAAGTTACTTTGAATCTGAGTCCCAACATTGTAAAATAGAAATAATAATACCTGCATCCTCAATTTGAAAAATATTTGTGAGAACCAAATAAAAATGGTTACAAGCTATGAATTGTAGTTGAAGTGGAAGTTACTCATTTCTCTCTGCAACTGCTCAGGAAGAAAGCCCAGCTGATGTAGGACCTTCCTTAGTGATGATTTCACCTCCTTATTTCTGAGACTGTAGATTAAGGGGTTCAGCATGGGGGTGATCAAGTTGTTCAGAATCTGAACAGTTGCATCCAACCAGGGGCTTGGGGTTGGTCTCAGGTAAATAAGGACCACTGGCATGTAAAAAAGCAGGATGGCAGCGAGGTGGGCGCTGCAGGTGGAGAAGGCACGGTGTCGGCCCTCAGCAGAGTGGATATGCAGGATGGAGCAGACGATGCGGCTGTAGGAGGTGAGGATGAGAAGGAAACAGCTGAGGGGCATGAGGCCCACACTGATGAACCCCACCATCTCCAGGGCTGACGTATCTGCACAAGCCAGCTTCAGCATGACTGGGATATCACAGAAATAATAGTCCACCTTATTGGGGCCACAGTAAGGCAATTGAAAGGTGAGAGTGGTTAGAAAGGTGGCCTGAATGCAGCCGAAGAATGAGGTCCCCATGGCTAGGATGACGCAGGCTCTGGGGCTCATGGTTATGCTGTAGCGTAGAGGGTGACAAATGGCAACAAAGCGGTCGTAGGCCATCACCGTGTACAGGAAACACTCAGTGCAGCCCAGGAAATGGTAGAAGAAAAGCTGGGATGCGCAGCCTGCATAGGAGATGGCTCGGCTGTTTCCTGAAAGGTAGCACAGCATCTTGGGGGAACTCACAGAAGGGAAAAATATGTCAAATATGGACAATTTGCACAGGAAGAAGTACATGGGTGTGTGAAGCTGAGCGGAGGAGACAATAGCCAGCAGGATGAGCAGGTTCCCCATAAGGGTGAAGATGTAGAAGGACAAAAACGGGACCAAGAGCATAGTCTCCAGACCCTCCGTGTGTGGGATGCCCAGCAGGATGAATTCAGTCACCACTGAGAGATTCCTCATGGCTGTGAAAACATCCAACCTTGAAACGGTACCCAAAACACACACCAAAGTCTAAATACCAATGTCAAGTTCTCGAGCTTTTTGCTGATGAGTGCTTTGGCTATGTTTTTAACAAGGAACAACTTGCCTTCTTATGAAGGGCAAGAGTGAGATCTATGTAAAAAAAAGAAAATCAGGTAATAAAGAAATGGCTGTTTTAGAGTCAGTCTATTCAACTCATGGAAAGAATGCTTTGTAAAGGCAGATGTTTGTCTTTTACAGAATAAGAAGTTTGGAGACATATTTAAACTACTTCAACTTAGGTTAGAAACCTAAGTACTGTGGATTTATTCTTTTTTAGCATATTTACTATTTGAACTCTTGTTATGTCTTTACATAACAAACTTCCACTATTGATTGCCCTCTGTCACATACCAGAAAAAGAATTATATTAGAGACCAGAAAACCTAATATGGATCCTGACCTTTCCATTTATTAGCTATGCTCATTAAAACAACTTACACAATGTCTTTAACAGACTTAGTTTCATCATTTACCAAATGAATCATTATAACAACATCTGTAACACAAGTATCCTAGTATTCAAGTGTATCAAGTATCTGCTAAAATGTCTGCAAAACTGTGAACCCCAGTGAAAAATTGTTTTCTTTTTTCATAAGTTATTGGGGTACAGATGGTATTTAGTTGCATGAGTAAGTTCTTTAGTGGTGATTTGGGAGATTTTGGTGCACCCATGACCTGTGCAGTATACACTGCACTGTATTTGTAGTCTTTTACTCATTGCCCTCCTCTCATTCCTCCCCACAAGTCCCCAGAGTCCATTGTATTATTCTTATGCCTTTGTGTTCTCATAGCTTAGCTCCCTTTGTTTTATATATTTTAAACTTAGTTCTTTAAGTACCTTACTTCAATGTTGTTATTCTGTAATTATTTGCAAAAAAACTTATTGTGTTAAATAACATTGTTTAATAGATTTAAGATTACATCCTCTTCAGATTCCATCTTTCTAGACTTGAAAGGTTGAAGAACCCCAACTCTATCAAGAGATGTTGGTGTGGTTCTATAGTTCTTACAGTCTTTTCTAAGTTGACTTAAGATGACTGAACTATTGAGAAACAGTATCAGCAAGGAAAGTATCCAATTTCCTTGTTACTGGAATAAAGTAAAAAATACAGTGATTCATGTAAAGAAAGGCAAAGAACAGTACTAACCAGGTAGGTTATATAAGTCCGGAGCAAGGTATAGCACCTGAAAGATACAGAGATCTCTCATTATTCACTTAGTAATAATAATGATAGTACACACACACACACACATACACACACACACACCCCGTTTAATGAATACTTACTGCATTCCAAGGACAGGCTCAGGATTTTAAAATTTATTATTTTAAAAATATACCTATAAGAGGATATTACTATTATTATTATTGTTCTCATCTATAGACAGGAAAGTGAAGCTTAGAAAAATTAAGCAAGTTGCTCAAGGTTAAAAAGCTAGTATGTGACAAATTGGTTTCATGTCATTTCCTGTGCTCTCAGTCATTAGGAAAATGTGCCCTCTGTTTGCCTTTTCTTTCTAAGACAGCCTGCTCCATTGCTCAGCAGTGACACTCTTTCCAGATGCATTCGCATCATTGCTTTATATTAAGGTAGGAAAAGACTTCATGTCCTATTTCTTCCTAGCCATTTCCAGTCTTGACTTCAGAGTCCCCTTGCTAAATATCTCACATAGTTTTAGAGATCATACAACAGGTGTTTTCTATCCCTTTAACACCAGAGCTTAGTATCAGCTTTAATTCAGGAGCTTTCAATTTGCAGAGCCACATTCATCATGGGGATTCCAATCATAAGCTGTGGAAACTGTCATGGAAAAGCATCACTAAAGAGAAAGACTAACCCAGAATGAGTCACCCACATATTACTCAAGAATTGGGCAAAAGTAAAGACAATAGAGAAACAGTGACATTCTGGGGAAGAAATGCTTCTGACAATCTGCCCCTTGTTACTAATTCTAGCCACACCTGAATCGTCTCTCTGAGCAACTCAAATTGCTGTGAGCATTCATCTTCTTGGTCAGCAAAGGCACGAGGGAGAGAATCTGGTTCTTGCCTATGATCATACACCATGATATCCTGCGATTCCATAACTTGATTTTTAATTCCATTTCAGGAAGGAGTCACCAAAGACCAGTAAGTTCTCCATTAGTATGTGAGGGGGAGAGGCTAACAGTGAGACATGGGTAGAAGGTTGAATATTCACACAGTCCACCTGAGAACATAGTCAAGTTTTCCAAGTGTTATAACAAGATCTCACATTTAATTTTTCTCAGCAGAGCACAGTGTGCTCCAGCCAAAGGAGCCTTAATTCTCCTATTTATAAAGAATCAAATCTCACAGGGTTTGTACAATCAAGACCTGTACACACTCACTCTCTCTGGATTGCTTCCTTGGAAGTTCTTTTCAGATCCCCTGAAGCCTTACTTGGGACTCAGTGATAGCTCTGAGGGAGCAATTAGTTTGTCAATGATATTCACCCAATCATGAGATAACAGTAATGATATCATTGGAAAGGGATGCTCTAAAGTGGGAAATATGTTCTTCCAAAGCTGTTTACATAGTAGAAAGACTCCAGTTTTAACATTAGATTACTTTCAATGCTATCCCTGTGTTTGGGTGTTTTTACACCTTCAAAGCTGCTCCAATTCAGCTCAATATTATAAGCTCATGATCTCATGATAGCTCATGTTATCATTTGTCTCATCATTTTTGACATTATCTATACATGCATGTGACTATATGGCTATCTCTAATAAACATCATTATTCTAGACATAAGCCTAATCAGTAATTATTCATTATGCATTTACTATCATGATGTATCTTCAGGATATTATGTCTACAGAAAAATAGTCTCACATGCTGGACACATTGCTGGGAAGATGACCAGTATAAATAAAGGAGCTATAAACCACCTCAAAAGAAAAATAATCAACTAAAATGCTATTATTTAATTAACAATCCACTGTAAGCACTTACCATACACTGTCATGCTAATTTGTTTAATTCATTGTTACATTTAATCTCCAAATGA